TGTATATTTTAATTTTACTACGTGAGAGTTAAATGATGTATATTTTAATTTTACTACGTGAGAGTTAAGTGATGTATATTTTAATTTTACTACGTGAGAGTTAAATGATGTATATTTTAATCTTTACTACGTGAGAGTTAAATGATGTATATTTTAATCTTTACTACGTGAGAGTTAAATGATGTATATTTTAATTTTTACTACGTGAGAGTTAAATGATGTATATTTTAATTTTTACTACGTGAGAGTTAAATGATGTATATTTTAATTTTTACTACGTGAATCCAAACGAAAGTAACGTATAATTACATGTTCGCCACGTGTACCTTTTTTTCTGATCACCCGTGTGCATGAAGAATGACATACTCGTTCGCCGTCCCCGCAAGGCTAGCGAAATAACCACCTTGCAAAGAGTGGGTACAAAAAGACAAAGCAACAATGGAATAAACATTCCCAATAGTTATAGTTTCGTAAGTAGTATTTTTGTTTTCACCGAGGATCTGACGAAAGGATCTTTATACGTTCGTGTTCACCGACGAAAATGTCTCCATTGTTTAAAGCACAACATATTGTGTTTATATCTAAAAACGTGTTCATGTAGTTTAAAGAACCTCCGAGTAATCGTAAATCAAGTTCAAACAAGATCTACAGTTTTACTAAAGGTTACATCCGATAATTTTAATGTCTTATTTTACAAAACAAAATAAACCATTTTGTTGGGTCTATTGCAGTGTGTTGAAACTTTGATAACTTTTTATAATATATAACACAGGTAGTTATCATACATCAAAAACTACTGTGATAAAACACGGGAAGCTACGATACGTCAAAACTTTATATGATGTAACACCAAAAGTTATCATACATCAAAACTCTAGGTGGTGTAACGTAGGAAGTTATTACACATCAAAACGTTGTGTGATGTAACATAGGAAATTATTAAACATCAAAACTTTGTGTGATGTAACATAGGAAGTTATTACACATTAAAACTTTGAGTAATGTAACATAAGTAGTTATTACACATTAAAACTTTGTGTAATGTAACATAGGTAGTTATTACACATCAAAGCTTTGTATAAAATACCACAAAAATTTGTTGTACACCGAAATATTTTATGATATAACACACGGTATGTTACCGTACATCAATCGGTCTTTTTATGATATAACAAGCAATGTGTTACCGAACGTCAAAGCCTTTAATGATATAGGTACCATATTGTGTGACCTTACGTCAAAGGCGTTTATGATATCAAATTATGTTACCGTACGTCAAAGACGTTTATGATACAACACAATATATTACCGTACCTCAAAGCCGTTTATGGTATAACACGCTGTGTTACCGTACGTTAAAGCCGTTTATGATATAACACAATATATTATCGTACGTCAAAGCCGCTTACGATATAACACAACATATTATCGTACGTCAAAGCCGCTTACGATATAACACAGTATATTGCTATACATACGAGCCTTTTATGATGTGACTCAGTATGTTATCGTACATCGAAGACTATTTCGTGGTCCTTTACACAGTGAAATTGTACAAATTACGCGTGCATGAGGTTAGATAAGGTTTTGTATTGAGTAGCTAAATAACGAACAATAGACAAATATTCTTGCATTTTAAATCAGAAACGGATGCGCCATTCTGATAAGAAAACACTTCTTCTGGAGGCAGGCTATAAAATTTGAACGGATGACGAGTCAATGCATATTATTTCCTCACCACTTCACATCAGTAAAACTTCCACTCTTAGTTTTTGAAAATTAATTAGGGCTAATTAAAACTTCCAAAACTTTCTTTATCGTCAAGCCTTTCAAACTTTTAACTATATATTTTTTTTCTATAGAAATAACAAACATTTTCGAAGAGTCATTAATAAATGCAGCATACTTTAAATAGAATTAAATAGAAGTTTAAAACTGTTAAATAGAGGGCGCCGTCGATACTAGAATGCAATCCGTATTTACATATTTGATGTAGTTGGATTAACATGCAGCTGAGAGTGAGCCATTTCGTTTGTTCTAACTTGCACAAGTCATGAATTCTGTAAATATTAGATTCTGTAAGGAGTGAAGATAGTATTTTTGTGTCCGCGACATCAGTAATGGTTGCAGTTAGTTCTATTTTGTCGTGTTAGTATTATATATATATACATATAATCTCAGGACAACGAGAGATCTATCTGTTAGTCTGTCCTACACACTATACTAAACTCTGAAATAAAAATAAAACGCTCAAAGCCAGCCTTTATCATTCAAATATTTATCACGCCTTCCCTTAAATTAACTGCATCCACCACATAAGAAGGCAATGTAATCCAAAGGCCAACCATTCTGTTTAAAAAATATAGCTTTCTTAACTGAAGATGGCTCCCAACTGCCAAAATTTATATTAGTGTCCTCTAGTCCAACCATTCTTGTCATTAAGTATATATATATATTTAAAAAAAGGTGATGCGTCAGCATTATTAATTCCTTTAAAAATCTTAAACACATAGATCAGATCATCAGAAATTTTAAACGCCTCAATCAGATCATTAAAAGTATTAAACGCCTCAATCAGATCATTAAAAGTATTAAACGCCTCAATCAGGTCATTAAAAGTATTAAACGCCTCAATCAGATCATTAAAAGTATTAAACGCCTCAATCCGATTCTCTCTAACTCTTCTGATTTTATCAAATGGAATTTCACAGTTCCTGCCAGTTAAAAGCTGATAATTTCATATTTTTGTGAACAAATCGTTGTATCAAGAAGAATATTTATTACTCAAGTGATATTGGGATTTCAGGGCTCGGTTAACTTCAAGTTTGGGGTTCTGTTTGCTAAAGTAGGGCAAACTGTCGACGACGAGATGTTTAGCAATGGTAAGTTTTCTTTACTTTTCTTCTCCTCTTACTACAAAAAAAAATTAGTGCTGTTAATAGAAATTTTGTTTTAGAATTGCTAGGCATATAAGTATAAAAACATAGACTCATTGGAGAGCCAGCATAAAGAAAGACTTAGTAAGATAAATACGACAGATTATATTAGTATAATTTTAGAATAAAAACCACTTTACTAGCGTCATTGACCTGGCGGACCTTGAGTTCAAATTTCATCACCGAACATGCTCGCCCTTTCAACCGCGGGGACGTTATAATGTAATGGTCAGTTCCAATGTTCCATAAAGGTAGCCCAAGAGTTGGCGGTGTTGACCAGCTGCATTTTCTCTATTCTATTAGCTTTACTCTAGTCGAGTAGTTTACGCGAACTTCCATAAACAAACGAACTTACGTCATTAAAAGTTCATGGTGATTCATCGTACTGATGCTGAAACGTGATGAATGGTAAACTTTCCACACCCTATTCGTTACGAATCGTGTGAGTGTTTTGTTTTTTGTTTGTTTTGTTTTGAATTTCGCGCAAAGCTACACGAGGGCTATCTGCGCTAGCCGTCCCTAATTTTGCAGTGTAAGACTAGAGGGAAGGCAGCTAGTCATCACCACCCACCGCCAACTCTTGGACTACTCTTTTACCAACGAATAGTGTGATTGACCATCACATTATAACGCCCCCACGGCTGAAAGGGCGAGCATGTTTGGAGGGACGGTGTGAGTGTTGAGGCTCATTTGTTTTCAAAAATAGTGGCTTCATTTTTTCATCCTTTGGTTGTTGTTATATAGATAGTATTCTAAAATATTGGAAATTAGTTTGTTTGTTTTTTCATTATGTACCTGTTGTCTAATTTTATACGATTTTGAACTTTTTATTGGTAAAACTATCTTTGTACTACTTTGCTAAAATTCTATTACACCTTCGTATTTAAAATATAAAAAAAATTATGGCATCGCATAATTACATCATTGCTGGTATTCGTTCACAATGATGTAATTATTATTTAAGGCTGAACGAACATCAGCAATGATGTAATTATTATTTCAGGCTGAACGAACATCAGCAATGATGTAATTATTATTTAAGACTGAACGAACATCGGCAATGATGTAATTATTATTTAAGACTGAACGAACATCAGCAATGATGTAATTATTATTTAAGACTGAACGAACATCGGCAATGATGTAATTATTATTTAAGACTGAACGAACATCAGCAATGATGTAATTATTATTTAAGGCTGAACGAACATCAGCAATGATGTAATTATTATTTCAGGCTGAACGAACATCAGCAATGATGTAATTATTATTTCAGGCTGAACGAACATCAGCAATGATGTAATTATTATTTCAGGCTGAACGAACATCAGCAATGATGTAATTATTATTTCAGGCCCGAAGTTCGTTCAACCTGAAATAATAATTACATCATTGCTGATGTTCGTTCAGCCTTAAATAATAATTACATCATTGCCGATGTTCGTTCAGTCTTAAATAATAATTACATCATTGCTGATGTTCGTTCAGCCTTAAATAATAATTACATCATTGCTGATGTTCGTTCAGCTTTAAATAATAATTACATCATTGCTGATGTTCGTTCAGCCTGAAATAATAATTACATCATTGCTGATGTTCGTTCAGCCTTAAATAATAAAAGATGTTACGAAGTCTTATCCTCTTCTCTTTAGATAATATCAATTTTTTTACACTACGAACTTATTTTCTGTATTGCATCTGTGGCGGTTTACCTTTTGACTATTGATATTTTATTCTGAATAACTTGCCTCACTTATTGAAACTTTATGAAGTGATTTGGCCCCGTTTTTCATATACTGACAACTCATCAATAACTAAAGTGTATGTGGTGGTTTTATTTCGCTACAGAATCTGGAACTAGAGAGTTCGACGAATTTCTTTCGTTGCTTGGAGAGCGGATAAGATTGAAAGGATGGAACAAGTATAGAGGAGGCCTAGACGTCAAAGGTTTGTTCCTTATCTTGCTTGGCTTACAAATATTGCGAGAATTCGATCTTTTCAACACGAAGAATTTTTAAACAAACATGCGAAAGACACTTTCTTTTTTTTTTCTTGTTTTGATTGGTGCTACCTAAAAGTTGTATTTCTAGTTCTTCGTTTTATATGTACATAGTTTCCCACTTTTTGAAATGAATTAAAAAAAAAACTTAAAACTAGAAAAATACTTGTTATAAACCTAAATCTCTTTTTTTTTTTCATTCCGTCCGATTTTCAGTTTCATACACTTTTTATTCGTTGTAAAAAAAAAATGTGCGTGTTTCTAAAGCTTTCTGTCAACCAAGGTTTTTGTTGTTCGGCACAAGGTTGTAAAATGGGCTTTCCGTCTGTGACAAACGCATGGATAGAACTCTGAACTTTAGCGTCGTAAACCTTCAATTTTACCACTGAGTAACTAGAAGACCCCAGGCATATAAAGTTAAATATATATAAGATGATAGAACATTGCGAATTTCTGAATTAACATCAATCCTGTTTAGTTTTGAAACAAAGGTGGAAGATATCTAGTGAAGCACATACTATTCAAACCGCAAAATTATCTTTAAGAACATGCTATTCTTACATTTCAGTAAGACTAAATGTTCTTTCCTTTGCATCTAAAGTCCTATAAAAATGTTATATTAGTTATATGTAGCCCCCCAGTATCACAGCGGTATGTCTGCGGACTTACAACGCTAGAAACCGGGTTTCGATACCCGTGGTGGGCAGAGCATAGATAGCCCATTGTGTAGCTTTGTGCATAACTTCAAACAAACAGTTATATGTATAATAATGTAATTAATTTTATTCGTAAAACGACTGTATTTGAACCTTGAATTCTATCAAACAAACGGTGTGATTGGTTATATAATAATCCAGGAACTGGCCAACTGTCAATGTTAAATAGTATGTCAGTTAAAAGTTTATCATAAAGCAACTTGTCTTATCGGGTGAAGAACACACACACTGTTCAAACAAATATGTGTTTGTTAACTTTGTTTGAGTTTACTGTACAATGGTGTAGTGAATATCAGGTTTTATGGACGTTGTGTGAGTACGTAAAAAAACCTTGATAATTGTATTAAAAATTCGTTTTCAACAAGCGAATCGTTATGTTTTTACAGGAGATATGACTGGGAAATACTCCATTTATACTATATACGAAGGGCATGAAATAATGTTTCATGTCTCGACGCTACTGCCTTATTCTAAAGACAATCGACAACAAGTAAGCTGTTCTCATCTTATTCTGTAGCGGGTAATCAATCACACAGAACTGCGTGTCGTTATATTTGACAACAATCAAATCTTTAAACGAATTTTGATAATACTCTAGACAGTTCGTAGCAAAGGTTATGACGAGCAGTTCCATTAAGTACTTTATCTCGTAGACATTAAGTCTATTTTGAGTGTATCTTTTTTAAAATAACATAAAGTGTATTTTAAACTTTCTAAAATAAGGTTCTGTAAAGCAATTATCTTTATTTCGAAATATATGGTTATTGATTTTTTTTATTTAATTTAAAGTTAAGGTTTCTTACGTCAGTTCTAGTAGAGAAGGTTTTTTTTTTCTCTCTCTCTCTTCTTAAAAACATATAAGTCTCTTATGCACAATTGAATCATATTGGATTTATTCAAGACATGTTGCTCTTTACACAATATAAACCTCATCTAAGTTTGTTTGTAATTAAGCACAAAACTATACAATGGGCTATCTGTGCTCTGCCCACCACGGGTATCGAAACTCGGATTCTAGCGTTGTAAGTCCGCAGACATACCGCTGTGCCACTGATAAAACTTTGACATATCTGCGGACTTACAACGCTAAAAACCGGGTTTCAATACCCGTGGTGGGCAGAGCACAGATAGCCGATTGTGCAGCTTTGTGCTTCAACTATAAAACAACAAAGATAAATCCTTAATAAAAAATGTTTTAACGGAATATTTTTATTGTTTCTAGCGCGAAGCTACCCAATAGGCTCTGTCCATTGCGGAGTATCGAACTCTGGATCTTAGCATTATACGTCCGTAAAAACTTACCGTTAACCCATTGTGAGACTCAACGATATAAAGTTTCAAGTTGTAGGTCCTTCACTTTTATACGCGGACTGTCCATAAAGTATTGCCATCGGAATGTATTTGTTTTGAATACTCACTAAAAACTCTTGAAGCTGCCCTTAATTTTGAACTTATAGACTAGAGGAAAGGCAGCTAGTCAACATTTCCCATCTAATCTCCACTGACCAAGTAGTGGGATTTCACCGTCACTCTTATATCGCACACACGACCTTAAAGATCCATCATTCGGTACGCTAGCCATTAGGTCACGCTCGGCTCTAATTAATTAGAAACACCAACAAGCAACCAAAACACAACATACTACAGAGCAAGTAAAAACTAGGAAACATTAAGTGTGAAACTTACCAGCCATGTTGCTTCCACTTCGGTTAATTAATTAAAAACACCAGCAAGCAACTGAAGCACAACATGTTATCGTTTATCAAAGAGACAATCAGTTAGGCAACATCTTTGTTGTTGTTGTTTGGTTGATTTAAAGGATAAAATCCTTGCAGTGTGCTCATGTGCTGAGGAGAACACTCCACAGGAATTCGATGACGAGGAACCCACTTTGAGACTAATAATGGCTGGAGACGGCTTGAATGGGTAATGAAGAAAAACTTTAATATAAGTTTAACATACCTGATGATGACAAAACCTTGTCGAAACGTTGTACATTTGCTGTTATGTTAAACTTATATTAAAGTTTTTCGTCATTACCCATTCAAGCCGTCTCCAGCCATTATTACTCTACAGGAACTCATACAATGTATGTTACATTTAGCTTACTAAGCTGTGAAACGGATTGACCCAGATCCACAGTGCATTACAGGCTGCATAACACATTAAATTGTTAGATAAAAACTCTTTCGAATAGTTTCTGAAACTAAAGGATTTCTAAGTGTTTGAATTGAAAGATTTGAATATCAAGTTACTGCAAGAACTTACCCGGAGTGTATCGCGTTATTTTGTACATTTTATTTCATCTCCAACACAGGATTGATATTATTACAATCAGGTTGCCCTTCGTCCTTATTACAGCACGTAATACACATGCACGCGCTACGTAACGCGGATGACTACACCCTACGTTAAGGTTCGAACCCAGGATCGCCGCATACGACATTGACTGACTACGTCACGAGTGGCTGAAAGTTCGCTACGCAGCGTAATTACTCGATAAGTATTATAAGAGTCTTCAAAAAAGTTACGAAATTCGATTACTGAATATTCAAATTTTTTCTTCAAGCTACACAAAGGGCTATTTATGGTATCTAGTCAACAGTACTCACAACCAATTCTTGCGGTACTCTCGTCTGACCGAAAAGCGGGATTTAGTCGTCGCTCTTATAGTGCGAGCACGTTAACTGTTAAGCTTCTCTTGGCCTATTTTTCTTTCCTTAAATTGGATTCTACGTGAAATTTTCTTATTAAAGCAACGAATAAACGTATTCGTTATATATATATATAACTGATTATTATTTGATTTGGTTAAACGAATGATTTACAAAAAAATCTTGTTAATTAAAAAATCGTTCTTGAAACAGATAAAACTGTGACTCACAAAATAATACCGGAAATAACACGTTAAGTCACACTCGAATATTTTAGTTGCTTTTGTTAGACCTAACAAGAAATCGCTGTTTTACGTTGAAACATTCTTGCGTTTAGTAAGTCCAACAGTTTGGTTTAATCCGCCCTTAATTAGGCCCGGCATGGCCAGGTGGTTAGGGGGCTTGACTCTCGAATTCCCGTCCCACCAAACATGCTCGCCCTTTCAGTCGTGGGGACGTTATAATGTGACGGTCAGTCCCACTATTTCATTGGTAAAAGAGTAGCCCAAGAGTTGGCGGTGGGGGGTGATGACTAGCTGCCTTCCCTCTAGTCTTACACTGCTAAATTAGGGACGGTAAGCGCAGATAGCCCTCGTGTAGCTTTGCGCGAAATTTAAACCACCCTTAATTTTATAAATGTTCTCCAATTTCTAAAACATATTTATTTGTTTTTCACTCTGGCAGGTTGAACGAAAGAGACATATCGGCAATGATATAGTCAACATTGTGTTTTTGGATGGAAACCACCAGGACCACTCTTCCTTCAAGCCTTCAATGATCAAGTCCCAGTTTACACGTATCCTTGTTGCGTCAGTGAACAAATAATTATCTACGTTGAATTATCTATTTAGATATAATTGCGCAGAGCCCTCGAAAGTGTTCAGTTTCAAGAGTAAATAAAACCAAAATTAAGAGTAACAAATATATTTATTTCTTGCTTTTGAATTTCATATGTCATGCTATGTTATAGCCTACAAAATGCATAATTATTCTCGTGATTCATGGCATGTGCACATTTTACTGATGTCACGACCGTACAAATTGCAACGTTAAGCGTCCCTTACGTGACGTTATTTTAGTGTCTACTGACTGATTGACAGACAACACGCTACTTACTGTATAGTGGTTAAAACAGGTGACTCCTCCAGGCGGCCTTCGGCCCCCTTTCGGGAAAGTTATTTA